GTCTTTAATTTAGACTTAATTATGATAAAAATTAGAAGAATTGGTCACTATAATTACCAACGGGACAACTCTCCACCAGAAACCAAATGGCGTAGAAGTTAGCAACTATAGGTCACCGTACGGCCTTCAACATGATATATTTTTTGTACAATAACCAAACATCATGACGATATATCAAACTCTAAATAGCCCCTAGTAAAGACAAGTTGTAAGCAACTATCACAGGAGGGAGGGGGTTGGGGAGTATACATGTACAAATTCCTCGTCCTTTCTATATCTATTAGTACAATATTAAAGCACGTTCACACTGTAACCATTGTTGAAGAATATATGATTCTAAATGACCCATTTGAACGAAAGGAATTTGAAATAATAATCTGTTATAAAATATTATGTTGCAAACTAGATGTTTAACAAGCCACAATCAATCAAAATACAAAGTAAAAATTGTCTGTAAATAATATTCCCCCCTTTCTTGTAAGATCATAAAGAAGACAACAACCTTTGCTAAATGAAAAACCAATCAACTTGAAATATAGATCTCTGGTTTCGTAATGTTCATAAACAAGAGTAAGCGAATTACGACAGATCTTCATTTTAACCAGACCGAGGAAAAAATTATTTAGGGCATGATACATTGTATCAATACCAAAAATGTCTTCTAGATGTCTATTTTGGGGTTTTGTTGTTTGCTTGCTGTCTCATTGGTGCATACCCCCTGCATCTCCTTTTATTCTGAAACAATCAATTGATACTACAGGCCCAGTCAACTAGACGTCGCCCTACAGTCTCTGTTTGTCTTTCCAATTGCAATTGCAATGTGGTATGATGAGATTGCTTCTTCTGCTGTTCGGTGGCCACCATCATTACTGTTTATTCTGCCTCAAAGGATTTCAATAACTTTAAACACAGTGTTTATATCTATAAAAGGAAAGTTTCTTTCGATTTTTGTGAAAATTGGGAGAAAAAAATTGAAGTAAAAACTTAAGTTATTAAGAAAATTTGAGTGACATATTTTTGTGCAAGAATTTCAACGGAAATTGATATTAACATCTATGTATATTATGCTATACAAAATTGATTCTCAGTGTCAAATTTTCTGTAAGTGATGAAAATTGTCTGTTATCCATGTATGTTATTCCGTCTTCTGTAAAACAAACAGTTGTCTGGATTTTTTTATGCCTTCAGATATTTCGGAAGCTAAATTATTGTTCATTCGGAACACCTATTTATATTATCTGTATTAGCTTCCTGCAATTAAGAGCACCTCCATACGGTGTGTCTAAGATATTTAAAACATGGCAATACAGAATTTTCACAGATCGCTAATTCATTATCTGATATATGATAATTAACAATCTATAGATCCTTTTCAAACATGTATATTTAATGTAAAGCTACATTTTATGCATTGCAAGGGTTTACTGACATGAGCAAAGTTGACAGTTGTACCCTTTGATAAACAAGTGAAAGTTAAATGGTCAAGATTTAATTATAACGACCTATGGTATCAAACATCTGTGTATAGATATTCACAGAGAGATAGTTTTAAAATAGTTCTGTGGTTTCATAGTGGGCTTTGGGACTTGATTGTAACAATAAAATTATTAGCACACTTGTCATTTTGACAAATCAGATAAAAAAATCTGTTTCAAATGAAAATAAAACAAGTAAAATAAAGACTGTTCGTTAATATACATTTTTACAACTTTTACTGTTTCCTTTTTGCAGTATTCTCTATCAATGAAGTTATTTTGTAAGTTAACTTAATGTTTATTTAATTCATTGATGTCACTATTATTTCAGTGACCGCTGCAGAAAGTCTTGACTCGTTTAAGAGACTACTGCATGCACATTAAATTTCAAGTCCCATGTTTTTATTTGCACCCTGTATAAACGTTATGTACAGCACAAATTATTTCCTTTCTGTTAAAATTATTTTTGGACTTGTTAAGTATGCAAGCGCACACCAAACAGTGACAGGATAGTCAACTAGATGACGGTGGACGCTTATTGGTAGAAGTAGAAATTTCTTATATTATTCACACACTGTAATGCTCTTAAATGTATGTGTGTTTTGGATGTGCACTAGTGATTGGTAAATATTGATACGTTTCTGTGTTTTTAATATATGTGACTTAACATCAAGAATTCCATTATTATGGAATCGTTCACTTTTGTACACTTCGGTATCTAAATAGAGAGTGGTGAAAGGGAGGGTCTGAACACGGAAATACGTGAAATAACAAATCGCAAAAACGTTGCACTGAAAAAAAAACACACTGGAAAAAAGAAGCCAAGGAATAAAATCGTAAATATTAAGGAAAAAAGTACCAAAAGTTATTACTCAGCCGTTCTTGAAGATCATGCAGTCATTATAAATGGACATGGCGACCCTGCATGTGGTCACCTTTTAACGTCCGTTAGTTGCATCCGATTTATCATAGTAATACAATAGGCTATTAATAAATATCTTGGGACCAGTTAATTAGTTTATAATTTAAAACAATATTTGGGCTGACTTTGAATTAGTCCATGTTTACTTTTTAATCAAATGCGGGACAAGCACGAGAAAATAAGAGTACCGACATGAAACACGGAAAATAATTAAGGGAAAACACGAAGCACGCACATCGAACCAAACACGAGAAAACGAGAAAGAAAACGTCGAAACACGGAAACACGTGAAATAAAAAGGCCGAAAACGTTGCACGAAAATAACACTTTACCTCCCTCTAAATAGGCCATACTAGATGTCGACACCTCATATTAGAACTTAAATAGATGGTCAATTTCGTTTGCAAGGTTAAAGAAATCTTCAACTGGCTCCAATTTGCCTGTGAAGACCATAAAACCGTCATCCCTATTGACAGTGTAATTTGATGTTTTCTCTCCATTGGAACTTATCTAAGATTTTAATGAATAGGGCAGACAGATGCAGATATGTGCATGTTGGTGACAATGGGCGCTCCCATTATGTGTTTGTATAACAGTCCATTAAACTCAAATTCATTGTTTCTAAGAATTAATTTAACAAATGCAGTTAAATCTATTTTGTTGAGAATCTTGAAAGTATATTCTCCTGTGTGTCAATAAATTCTAATGCATTGATAACATTTTTTTCTAAATTATCAATCCTCATATTTGTGTACATTGACGTACATCATAGGCAATAAGAATGCATACTTTGTTTTACCTCGGGTGACTCTATTTTATTAATGAAATTTTTTGTATCTTGAATGTAAAAGTTATGCCTCTTCAATAATTGGATGTTGGATGTGTACTAATTGATAATTTAGTCTTAGATGCATGACTTTTTTAATTAGTTGTTAGTGGCTTTGAACTAGCTGTCAGTAACTGCGAGTACTCTCAGATCTGTTCTTAGTGTCTATTTGTTGTTGGGATATACAAGCACCCGGCCACGTCTACTCTGTGTAGTATTTCTGTTTGTATCCACACGAAAAGAGAATACTTTTTCAACTGATTTTTATAGTTCGTTCTTATGTTGTACTGTTACACCACTGTCCCAGGTTAGGGGAGGGTTGGGATCCCGCTAACATGTTTAACCCCGCCACATTCTGTGCCTGTTCCAAGTCAGGAGCCTGTAATTCAGTGGTTGTCGTTTGTTGATGTGTTACATATTTGTTTTTCGTTCATTTTTTGTACATAAATTACCTCGTTTGAATTGTTTTACATTTGTCATTTCGGGGTCTTTTATAGCTGACTATGCGGTATGGGCTTTGCTTATTGTTGAAGGCCATACGGTGACCTATAGTTGTTAATTTCTGTGTCATTTGGTCTCTTGTGGAGAGTTGTCTCATTGGCAATCATACCACATCTTCTTTTTTATATTTATAATTAGATCAAGTAAGTATCTCTCGCGGGAGAGTTACACTTATTGATGATTGGTCGGTAATGAACATTAATGTGTCCTGCTAGCTGACTGTGACCAGTTCGCAATGCCTCATTACTTATTTCTAGATTAATTTTATGAATTTTTGAAAGAAGGTACATGTGTCCTCCATGTTTTGAATTATTATTATTCTTTAAGAAATTATACGTCTGGGAATCTTTTTTCTCTCTCCTTGCTTTATATTTAACACTTCTCTCAACAAGCCAAAATTGTAATGATTTACAATAAAAAGAAAATATTATCCTCCACACACATGGCCAAGATAACACTGATATATAATTTCTTATTCAGTTGAATTAATAATTAGAATACAAAAGTTCTAAGGTTCACGTATTGTCTTTTTTTTTAAAAAAGCAACTCGTCTTTATGTGTTACATAATTTATACATTATCGATAAAGGGTATTCTATATACTGTATGTACCATCAAATACAAAAACTTTTTTTTTGCGCCTCTATCATATTTACTATCAACTACATACAATTTTTGTTGGCGTATTTATTAGATTTATTTGAATGTTTGTTTGAATTGTTTAGACAGTTGTGTTGTGTGTCTGTGATGTGTGTTTACACAGTTTTGGCTGCTGGATACCAATAATTGTCACACTAACCTATTATGTCTGTTTGGGTTTCTCCAATTTTGTCACTAGGACCATGGAAGTATTAAATTGTCAATATAATACTTCCATGCTATGGTGGAATTATAAACATAAACAACTGCCATACAAGTGGGGGTTTAGCTAGCTATAAAACTAGGTTTAACCCATCATTTACTTCGGAAAAATGCCTGTACCAAGTCAGAAATATGACAGTTGTCTTCCATTCGTTCCGTTGGTTGATAAAGTCTAACGTTTGATTTCATTCAGCATATTGAAAAATTCAAAGTATCAGAAAAATAACAACTGTGATTATTTTAATGTTTGATTATGAAATTTTCAAATATGCAATGCTTTGTTAGAATTGATATTAGAGACGTGTTTTTGTAATCATGTGAGCGTTACTGTTTTTTGCTGCAGTTAGCGACGAAGGTCTGCAAATACAAAAAAAAATATTGTTATGAAGGGATAAAATCTGTTTATATCTTTTCAGCAAGCAATATTATGCATTGGAAGTACTTTGTCCATACCTTTTATTCTCGGGGACAAGTTATGTACCAACTTATTTCCAGCACAAGAAAAAGCCAATGTCATAGCCCAACTTTTAAGTATCTCTATGTTTATGTGTGGACTTGCTACACTTTTACAAACAACGTTTGGGGTAAGGTAAGTTTTATTAGTATGTAAGTTTACTGTTTGTAGAAAATGTAGTATGCATTTTTTCGTCAATTTTCCGTTAGTATAAATTACTTTTGTTTTCCTTTTCTGATTCAATAATAGAAACAAGAATAAAGACAAACTTTGATTAACGTCAATTAAGATGAATTGACTCTACAAAACTTTTGTAATAAAATTAAAGGACAATAACAAAAATAAATGTGATTAAAGTAAGATAAAATAACTAAAATAATTGATAAATGAATAACATATTAATAATCACGAAATATCCATATACACACGAGTGCGTTCGCCCGATTGAATCACGGTATCTAGTTTTCAACAAGATATTATGATTGATGCAAAATGATGTATTACAATAATTTGGAAGGGGGTCTTCCAGCAATTAAAACTTATTTCAAGATAAAGCATGATAAATGCAGTATATACAATTACAATTACATAACATGACATCATGATGTATAAAATATTGTTTACAACGCTTAAAACTTGTATGGTCCAATCTGGTATATATTAAAGTCGGTAAGGAATATAACAACCAAATTCCTTATAACTCTACGTTTCAATCAAAATGTGCTGCGATCAAAGCTTTTACACCCCGTAAAATTACAAATAGAAGCATTCAGTTCTTAAAGTGAAAATTTTCTTCATCAAAATCACTAGTTTAATTCAAATGAATAATGATCGACTTGAACGTCGAATGCAAAATGAGGCTTTTGACCATGTTTGGTCTCAGGAACAACTTCATAAATAAAAGGACAAGTGATGTGAATTGCCATAGAGACAACTATCCAATAAAGACCATCGGATAATCGGATGTGAACCATTACTAGTCATCATACGGCTTTCAATAAAGAGGAAAACAATTTTTGTTTTGTTTCATGGGCGGGCGGATTTAATTTCACATTTTGTTTAAAAGAACTGTTTAAATGACTTTTCGGAGAAGATACTAGTTAGAGATACACATTTTATCACAAAGAACGATTTTTAAAGAATTTGAACAGCTGTATTACGGAGGATGAATAAGAAAATATTGAAAACATTGTTAAACAGCAATTTGTTTAAAAAAAAATATTCTCGTTTTGACATTCAAACAATAAAAATTAAAATTATACGTTTCCATGATGTTCCATGATGCGAATCTATTGCCATCATCCTTGCTACTATCTACAGGGTCACCGCACCAAACTTCTCCGGGTCACCACGATCATGACGATGATTACAAACAAAATGAAAATATATTTTACTAATCAATTACATACACATGAATAAGTGCAGAGTTTCTGATTGTATATAAATTAATTAATATTCACGGATGTATGTTTCCTCTTGCAGACTAGGAATAATACAAGGAGGGTCGCATGTTTTCATTGCTCCAATCGTTGCCATGATGTCTCTAGAAAAATGGAAATGTCCAACAAGTCTTGAAAGTAAGAATTGTATTATAGAATTATAATGGTAATGGTATTCGATATGTCAACAGAAAATGTCAATGCAAAAAAGCGAGTGGAACATTTTCACTCTTTAGGTGGAATTATTTAATTAAGTGAGACGGAATATACCAAGGGAACATTTAAATCTCACAAGTCGGAAGAAAATCTAAAAACGCACTGGCAAAAAAAAAACGACGAAAAGACGAACTAGTTTATAAGATATTACATAGAAAACTTAAGCCTGAGCAACAAAAACCCACCAAAATATGGCATATAGGGTAATCAGTTCCTGTTCCACATGTGGCACCCGTCGTTTATCAAAAAAGGTAAATAATAACTGCTTAAAGCGCTTCTTTATTTATCATTTATGTTTTTTTCTGGAAAAGGATACCAATTTGTAAACCTAATGGCACACTGCTATTAGGGAGGAACATATATATATAAAAAAAAAACTGCCATAACAATCAATACACAGGAATGAAAACATGTTTTTTTTTTTAATTATTATTTCAGTTCCAGCAGCAAATGAAACAAATATTACGACTTTTATGAGCCAGGATCAGAAAGATGAGTTGTGGCAGAGCAGACTCCGAGAGGTTTGTATGGATAGCGATTGGTATTGGTATTTGTTTCAAGATTAACTCCATAGATTTGTAAGACTAGGAATAGTTTATTTGAAATATTTTGGCTGTATACTAGAGAGAGATTGAATGACCAATGTTTAATTGTTTCGATCAATAATCCTTATTTTTTGTGATTTCTAACATTTCAGGTATTCCAGTGAACTTGACAGATGAATTGAAATATTTGATCGACTTAAAAAGTAGAATTTTCAACTAACAAAATGACTTCATTTTCCCAGTAAATTATTTTCACCAAAATAACAAGCTTTTAACTTAAATGATTGGTAGTAAAATTCTAATCAACTTTGTGATTAAACATTTGTTTTAGTCTTTGCTCATTTTTGATGGCCGTCATTTCCCTGTAATTTCTGATGTGATTTGTCTCCATTGACAGCTATAAAAAAGTTCGACATTTCGATTACATTACTTATCTAATAAATAAATATGTATTATTTTCATCCTCGATTTTACATCTCATTTAGCATTTACAGGTCTAAATGTACGAACTTTCTATGAATCAAATAAAAGTACGAGAACTTTGCATTGTTATTTTGTTTTGCCCTTTTTAAACCACCCGTTAGAAATGCAAAAATAAGCCTCACGCTTCCGAAACCTCGTTTCAAAAATGTTCTTTATCATTTCAAGAAAGCCCGTTGCTTTTTAATGGTAATAAACTAACACAAGGAACATTACATTTTATTTTGCAGATTCAGGGAAATTTGATGCTTGCATCAGTGATTCAAGTCGTTCTAGGATGTACTGGCATTATGGGTCTAATGTTGAAATACATCGGACCTCTAACAATAGCTCCAACTATATCATTAATAGGACTTTCCCTTACTGCTGTCGCGGCTGATTTTAACAGACGACACTGGGGAATAGCAATGTTGTAAGTTTGATCTTGAATTGAATTGTGTTTTTCATGCACTCTTCATTAACACCCTCATTAATTAATGTGGCCTCTTAGATCTTTGACGCAAGTTACGACAGAGCGATATTTTAATTAGATTGAAATAGTTAACAGACGAACGGTAGTTCTTACGTTTGTTCTAATTAAATGTTAAAAGTTAAAATTTAATGATATGTTCTTCTACCAATACAATATAATATACATATTGGGAATCAATTATATTTAAGTATCTATGCTACTAAAATAACGAGCTCCAGTTTGTTAGCCGGCATGACGAAAAAACGACGAATCAAAGAATTCAACTTTATATATAACCAGAAGTCCATTACTAGGGTTCAAATAGAAAGATCTTGAAAGCAGAGAAAACTGTGCACCTTATAATCAGCATATTCATAGCAGATGACAATACGAATACTTAAAATCCAGACTAAAAATAAGGCGTAGGTACTTTGATTCAGTCACGGACACGCGATGTCGCAGGTGTGTCTAGTTTAACATATTTTTTCTTCACGTTGATACAGAAATAGGATCAGTATACGATGTTGTTTAATCAATTCCTCCAACTTATATATAATAATGCTAAATATTATTTTTTCAAATAGAAAAAAATCGTAATAATATTTCCATATTTCAGAACTCGTTTTTGAAACACACATTTATTATTACAGGACATTGGTTTTAATAGGATTTTTCACTTTGATTCTTGGACGTGTCCGAGTTCCGTGCCATGGCTTTAATTTGAAGAGGAAATGTTACGTGTTCAGATATCCAGTTTTTTTAACTGATGCCAGTAAGTTGTTTATGTTTTACCCTACATGGCTATTTAGTCCTTTCTCGAGACAATTGATTGATTTATTGGTTGGTTATTGGTGTTTAACGCCACTTTCAGCACTATAGGCTATATCGTAGCGGTCAGTGTCGGAGGAAGCCGGATCGCCTAGTACATTACACATAATAGTAACACATTTTATCTAACATATAAACTTACTAGCAATTATTGAATATATGAATTGATTATGAAGGAGTGTTATCGAAGAATATATTTTTTATACCTAATATAAAAATAAGAAGATGTGGTATGATTGCCAATGAGACAACTCACCACAAGAGACCAAATGAGACAGAAATTAACAACTAAAGCTAAGCTTACTAATATATACATGGTATATGAAGTATACTTCAATAAACCAGCAAACTGAACGACACAAATAACCAAAGAGACATTGATATATACAAGTATGTGTGTACTAGTTTATTTTAAGGGCACCTTTAATATAAATCACTTTTTTTTTAAATTTTCTTTGCAACATCAGGTGTCATTCTTCAGTACTTACGAAACTAATAAAAGTTCAAACTTGAGCATTTGACCTAATTCTAAACACATAATTGTTGAATACAAATGATCTAAATGGATTGAAATAATTGAACAGTTATAAAAAAGTTATTTGGTTTATGAAAAAATCCTATAATTTATAAGAGTTTTACTGATCGTATAAAATATAAATAAATCTTATAACTTTTACTGATCGTATAAAATAAACAACCTGGCAAGGCCAAACAAATAATATTTATGTTTCAATTAATTTGTTAAAAAGGGAGTAAGTAAGTAACTCATTGCAGTTTTACTGTTTAGCAGTTTGAAAGATTGACTCTTTATTTCTTACATATTTCTGCTGTACGTGTGTGAAACATGTTATAATTACAATAACTCTCTCACCAATAAAACAGGTACTGCCTAGTGTTGGTATATGCTGGCTTCTGTCCTATATTTTGACGGTGACGGATACTTTACCAAATAACTCTACATTGTGTAAGTTGATGTTTTCTCTCCATTGGAACTTATCTAAGATTTTAATGAGTACAAATTATTAAGCCTGGTTGGTACGCTCCTATAATGTGTTTGTATAACAGTCCATTAAACTCAAATTCATTGTTTCTAAGAATTAATTTAACAAATGCAGTTAAATAAAATATATTTTGTTGAGAATCTTTAAAGTATATTCTCCTGTGTGTCAATAAATTCTAATGCTCTAATGCATTGATAACAATTTCTTCTAAATTGTCAATGATCATATTTGTGTACATTGACGTACATCATATGCAATAAGAATGCCTAGTTTTTTTTAACTCGTGTGACTCTATTCTATTACTGATTTTTTTTGTATCTTGAATGTAAAAGTTATGCCTCTTCAATAATTGGATGTTGGATGTGTACTAATTGATATTTAGTCTTAGATGCATGATTTTTTTAATTAGTTGTTAGTGGCTTTGAACTAGCTGTCAGTAACTGCGAGTACTCTCAGATCTGTGCTTAGTGTCTATTTGTTGTTGGGATATACAAGTACCCGGACACGTCCACTCTGTGTAGTATTTCTGTTCGTTCTTATGTTGTACTGTTACACCACTGTCCCAGGTTATGGGGAGGGTTGGGACCCCGCTTACATGTTTAACCCCGCCACATTCTGTATGTATGTGCCTGTCCCAAGTCAGGAGCCTGTAATTCAGTGGTTGTCGTTTGTTGATGTGTTACATATTTGTTTTTCGTTCATTTTTTGTACATAAATTAGGCCGTTAGTTTTCTCGTATGAATTGTTTTACATTTGTCATTTCGGGGCCTTTTATAGCTGACTATGCGGTATGGGCTTTGCTCATTGTTGAAGGCCGTACGGTGACCTATAGTTGTTAATTTCTGTGTCATTTGGTCTCTTGTGGAGAGTTGTCTCATTGGCAATCATACCACATCTTCTTTTTTGTATTTATAATTAGATCAAGTAAGTATCTCTCGCGGGAGAGTTACACTTATTGATGATTGGTCGGTAACGAACATTAATGTGTCCTGCTAGCTGACCAGTTCGCAATGCCTCATAACTTATTTCTAGATTAATTTTTGGAAGAAGGTACATGTGTCCTCCATGTTTTGAATTGTTATTATTCTTTAAGAAATTATACGTCTGGGAATCTTTTTTTTTTTCTCTCCTTGCTTTAAATTTAACACTTCTCTCAACATGCCGAAATTGTTATGATTTACAATAAAAAGAAAATATTATCCTCCACACACATGGCCAAGATAACACTGATATATAATTTCTTATTCAGTTGAATTAATAATTAGAATAAAAAAGTTCTAAGGTTCACGTTTTTTAAAAAGCAACTTGTTATTTATCCACTGACATTACAAACGCTTAATTATATATTGGTTATTCCAAAGACATGTAGATTAAAATTTAAAGGTCTCTGGTTAATTCTGAATGATTAACTTTTCTCTGTGAAAAAGTCCATATCCTTACTACAACGCATACAACATGTATTTACGAATGTTGTATACAAAAATGGGTTTGGGAATGAATTAATGATTTTTTGTGATATTTCAAAATAGTTTTAGGGATACGGGATATTTGTAAAAAATATTTATTGGGATATTAGGGGTAAACATTATAGGGATATGGGATATTGGGACAAAAACTTTATGGGATATGGGATATTGATACCTCCCCTAAACAAGCCTCATATGTCGAATATTTTTCTATTTCTCACAATTTCTTGGTAAAAATTAACAGAAAACTGCAGAAAGTTCCCACCACTATGCTTAAATAATAATATATGTGATATATATTAGTGTTTTTGGTGGAAAACAAAAAAAGGCGAATTAGCCCAAACGCCCGTTTATAACTCCAGCTAGATATGCACTTTTCAGACGGTCATATTTCAAAAATCGATAATTATTCAAATAGTTGTCAGTATTTTAGAATACTTTGGAAGCAGGTACAATGAAAAGAAGTTGAACTTTACTGTTTTGAAGTAGAAACGCAGCCAAAACCAGGTACAAATTGACATGACTGGTGGTCACCAAATTTGATGTATAATCGTAAAAAATGATGGCTTCAAAATTGTGTAGAAATTTGAAATAGTTTACCCGGTTTCATTAAAGATTATTACCGTTCTTTTCCGTATTTGGATACGCAAACGTCAAGTTATGAAAAATCGATGTTTTTGGCGAACAAAAAAGATGGCTGAAATTTTTTAGAACGGACAGGATAAAGAAATAGCAATAACAAGCTAT